ATCCCCAACAGTTGTCTAAGAAATAATGTTATTAAATCTTTGTTTCTCTTGGTACACCTTGAAAACTTGGTGTTGCTCTGTATGTGTGGCTTTGGCCATGCTTGTGGACATGTAAAGCCAGTACTTGGAGTCTTCTGGACACATAATGGGCAAAGTGTGTCGGAGGGCCCCAGTGGATAAATTGCTGTTCTGTACATCTGTAGTGGTGCTGAGTTTTCCTTTGGTTAAGGAGACCTTAACCACGTTCACTGTGGGGAAAGCTGATGGACTCCTGACTGCAGGGCTGGGGTGATGGTGCTGCCTTCTGCATGCCTTTCCTTTGTGGACACAAACCAGTGCAAAAGCAAGGTCCTGAAGCAACCGGGATCCTCCTGAGAGGGCCACTCCGTTCCAGCAGCAGTGCTGAACACACTCCCCCTCCTCTCCCAGCCCTGGCCAGCGCTACAGCAGGCAGAGGAGGGAGCTGCCTGGGGAAAATGGAATCTTGGCCCTGCTCCACCAGGTACCAACCTCTTCCTCTGCTAGACAATGTGCCTTCACACAAAAGACGAGTCCCCAAAGGATGGGCCTTGCAGGCTCTTGCCTTGGAGTGGGAGCAGCTCCACCCTGCTTTTATTCTGGTGGCAGCTTGCTTCCTCCCAAGGTAGAGACTGGTGCTCCCAGGGTGAGCACTCCCGGTGGAATGGCCAGGCCTCCCAGCCCTGCAGTTTAAAAAGGAGCACAGACACACACAGAGAGAGAACCATGGACAGGTGAGAAAGAAATGCTCCGTGAGGCGAGGCTGGCTTGAACAGCTGCATCCTGGGCATTGCTTTGTTGTCTCCCATCACCCAGCTCTGCAGCCAAGAGGCCCCTGTGGTCTGTAGCACCCGCTTGGTGCACGTGGGACCGCTCGGGGAAGGCAGCCAGAGCAGGACGTACTGGGGACCCGGGTGCAGCAGCCACGTAGAAATGCTGTGAGGTCCAGACACACCGAGCGGTACGGCCAGCCCGGGTCACAGCCACGCTGGAAGGGGAGCGGGAGCTGAGAGTATGGGATGGGGTCATACTTTGTTCCAAGGCAGGTAAATTCCCCACCATTTTTCCTTGTTATTTTGAACTCTAACAGCATCAAACACTTTGTGCTTCTCTGCGTTTAACATACAGGTTTCCAGTGAGTTGGCTGCTCACGGTTTTTCTCTGTTTCACCACAAAATCGGTTGTAAGATCTTTTGGATCAAATCCCAACATCTCCCTTTACTCGTGGATTAGGAAGGAAAATGTTGAAATATGCCTATAAAATACCTGTGAAAAAAAAATCAAAAAGGGTTGGGGTGGGCAAGTTTTTAAAATGCAAGTAATCAGATTTCACTCCAATGAACTTGACTGTTCAGTGAAATGGTATGATAATGAAATCATCACACACACACACACACACACACACACTATAACCGTAATACATCTACTAGACACATCTCAATGATATACTTGATTATATAATGGCTTACACCATTCGTAAACAACTATGGGCCAAAAATCATATTCAGTTTTCTGGCAGTGACATTAAGCTTTGGCTGAAATAAAAGTCAGGTTTGCTACATTGCATGTGCGCAAATCCACGGGTGAATCACGAGCCCCCGTCCTTAGAGAGTTCCAGCTCCTCCAGAGAGGCTTCAAACCTCACCATCTCGGGCAGCAGTTTCTTGAGCAGTTCAATCTCTTGACAAAGGAAGCATCGAAATTTATCTCTACATTATGAAGAGCAACGCGCTGCTGCCACACAGTGTGTTTGTTAAAGGGAACCCTGAGTGAATGGTTATACAGCAAGTGACACCAAAATCTACCAACAAATTTTACAATGCAGCTGCCAAAACCCACAGCACGGCAGCCAGGGAGGGGAGCCAGTGGCAAGTGCTGCACTCACTGTCAAAAGTTACCAATCCTCAGGTGACTGCAATCCACGTACCTTCCTCAACAGCATCAGTGGCTACAAAAGCTTACTCACATTTAAGCCTCTTCAAGAGGCTGTGGATTTTCTTTACTGCTCCTTGCAGGGAAGGCACGTCTTCTCTGTGACCAAATGAAGTCCCTCCTTCTGAGATGAACCCCAAGCTATGGGCCACCTGGAGCTGTGCCCATCTTAACCTACGAGAGAAAGATCGACACTTTAAAACTCGGGAGCGTCACTGTGCACGCTGAAAAGCCAGAATGCACCATCTCTGGATAAGGCACAGAATCGCTCCAGTTGCAGACAGACATTTTTAAGTACGTACTGGAAATAGCTCGGGACACTTGTAGCAACATTTCGATCTCGGGTGGCCTCTGCCATGCAAGAGAAACTGGAGTGCCAAATCTTCCTAGGCAAGAATTCCTCTCCTTGACCAAATCAGCTCTCAACTGGCACGTGGCAGCTCAACTTTACACCCACACGTGGTGCTGAATACAAGAAGGAATTCCAGTTTCCTTCACTGAAATGAGGGCAACAAAGATCTGGCCCTCACAACCGGTCAGGCACACCTCGGCAGACTCTGTTAGCTCGTGTCAGGCAGGGAGAAGGTGCACGAGGAACGCGTGCGTGCGCCTCGACGCGAGCGGAAGCGTCGCTCACGTGTAACTTCCAACGTGCCCTGCAGCACACGGCCAGGAATGCACTAATGAAGTACTTGTTATGGGGAAGAAATAGACTGTTAAGGACTTTACCTTCATCTGAGTCCAGTCCTCCTTGTACTGAGTCCTTTCTGCCTCGTCTGTGGATTGAAGGTATTTCCTCCTAGACTCATCTCCCACCACGCGGAGGCCTGTAGCGAACGCCAGGCTCGGACGGGTCTGTCGGAATAGGAGCAGAGTCAGAGTCAGAAAGAGGAGCTAAAAATGAGCAGGTGCAGTCGGTTTCAGACACACAGCACTTCCAGGGTGCAGTTCCTTCTGGTACATCTATGCAGTACCCTAAGCAATGATTTCTAAACATTTATCCAAGCTTAAACAGCTTCTTCCTAATTATCGCCACCTTTATAACCAGCGCTCGCCTGCCCCTGCAATACACAGGCACAGGGAGGGAGCTGCAGTTATTTACACAACAGAACAAGTAACATACCAAATTAAACACCCAGCACTATACCTCACTTTTGGAAACAAAACCTGGGCACACACTTTAGTGTGCAAAACCCCTGTAAGAATAAAACCTGCTTTAAATATCTTAGGCATCAAGCCACAGACACGCCTATGAAATTCAGTGCAGCAGTGACAAAAAAAGGAATTATTTCCTTAACCTGTGAATAATCACCTCTAAGATTCTGTGATGCAGTTGCCACTGCACACAGCCACAAGCGGCCTTTTTATTAACAGGCAAAAGAACAAAGGAATCCCAGTTTATCCCTTCTGGTCTGCAAAGAAACAGAGACGGGAGAGATGCTTCTCAGAGGAACATGGTAAAAAGACACATGGTGTAGAATATGGAACAGCTGGTGGTTCAGCATCTCTTCCACTGCAAGATCCAGGGGATAGCTGATGATACCTTGGAGGCAGGAGTCACAAAAGCTGCCGGAGAGGGAAGACAAAGGAGCTCAACCCTATCTGCTCTTAGGTTTTAGCACTGTGACCTTTACCTTAACTTACAGTTAAGTGTTTCTGACAGTGTAAATCCCTTTTGTTTTGATTTTAACAGAGTGCAAGAATTCAGTGATGAAGTAACAGTGGCATACAGCCTTTCATTTCCCCTGGTCCTCTCACCCAGCAATGAGGTCTCACAACAACAATACAACAATGAATAGTTATAGAAGGTAACTCACTGCGCTGAAGAGTCCTTCAGAAGGATGGGAGCCACAACTGAGGCAGATCCTTGGACAGATAAGCCAGAGGTGCTTAGGCCTCGTGTTTCCCCCTTACCCCAGAACCAGCCCCAAAAGGGGAACACAAAGTTCACAGGCTTCTCTTTGAAATTAACGCCATATAAAGAACAAAACATCCTAAAAAAGCTACATGTCATACAAATAAACCAGCTACCTTCTCTATGCCTTGAATCTATTTTTTTTCCCCCCTGTGTTCCTCCTTTCCATCCTTCTGCGTAGCCTTGTAGCAGATAAATCTGTTCAATAAAGGGCCCAGCTGACTGTGAGCAGAAGGCAAAGCAGAGGATTTGTCAGCATGAAAACCCACACTGCAAAGATGAATGAGCATCAGGGGCAGTTAAAAATCTGCTAGAAATTAGTGCTAATGTCACACTACCCTCTCTTCCCTGTTTTCCATATCCAAAAGGAAAGGAAGTTGTGCGTGAGCCAGAAAAGCTAAAAGGGTCAGGCAATGTGCTCACCTGCCATCCCACACAGCTCAGTGTGACTTAATGCACCAAACACAAGGGAATCGTTGCCAGCTGGGCAATAGACACCACGAAGCACACAGGTTTTCAGTGCTGTCAGCAGCTGCAAGGGGAGGATTGCCTCCGAGAAACATACCAAAACAATGAAAATAAAAAAAAATACAAATTAACATCTATTTCCACCACACATGTTTAAATTTATATACTATATTCATTTATATATGACAAGCAATATATAAAGTATCAAAATATATTATTTTAACGTGTATACGTATGTTATTATATATTAAATATATTACATACATTTTAATGATATATATTCATTATGTATATAATACATATATAAAATCAATATATATAACATATATATTAAATATAAATCTGTTTGTATATATTGGCATTACTTCTATTTCTTTACTTTTCTGGTTGCACATACGTCTATATCTTTATATACTTAATATACATTTCTATGTTTTTATTTTTGTTGTATTTATTTAAAAGCCGCGAAGCTAACCTAATAAAAACCAAACAGTCCCTTTATCTTAAACGGTATTTAAAAATATTTTAATATATATTTTTTATCATATTTATATACCTTCTTGATATACAAAACACATAACATATCCTAAAAGATATCATATTACCATCTATACGTACAGAAATCATATTATAGATTATAAATCAACATATATGTATATATTTCTATTACTTATTTTTACGCCTACATATATATACTATATATATTTTTACTCATATATATATATATTTCTCTATACCTTTATATATTCATTCTTTCAATATTTTATTTATTTTTATTTTTCCTATTTATCTAAAAGCCCTGACTCTAACTAAATAAAAACCAAGCAGCCCCTTTATCTTCAATATTTTTTAATATCTATTTTGATCATCTTTATACTTACAGGTATATACTCGGTTGATAACCTGCCCCAGCCCCGGCCCCCGCTCTCACCGTTCCGACACACAGAGCAGCCGCCTCCTCGGGCTGCTTCGGTCCCAGGGCCGGGGAGCGACCGTTCGGTCCCGATGCCATTGGGGTTTCCGCCATTTCCCGGGGGGGGGCCGAGGGGGAGAGAACGGAGCGAGAGCAGCGGCGGCGAGGTACGGGTCGTCGCGAGTGCCAGAAGCCCCAGAACGCGGCCGCGGCAAGGACCCCGGCAGAGAGAGGCGTCTTCACCGCTGCCTGTCGGCGCCCGACCTGCTGGCGCCCGGCCCCGGCGCCGCCGAGCGCACAGCCCGTGTCCGCACGGCCGGAAAAGCCGCGGAAAATTGCGCCGGAGCGGCGTCGGCGCCGGGGTGTTTGTCAGGCAGTCAATCGCACGCACCCACCGCCCGGGGTCCTTCCATTTTCCCGCCTTTTTGGCCGCCATCCTTGGGAGGTCAAGGCAGCCTCGATCGGGCAGCCATCTTGTGCGTGGCGTGACGTCACTTCCGCCCTTCCTCGCCGCCATCTTTGTTGTGGCTGAAGCCACTTCCGGCACAGCGGCCATCTTTGTTGAGGCAAATTAAGGCCCCCGCTGCTCTCAGCGCGTCTGTCTAACTTACTTGCCTGAACGAAAAACCTGCCGACGCCGACCGACTCCGAGCACTCCGCCCGATTGTCCGCCGCCTTTCCCCGGGCGAGGATGATGGTGGCGGGGCTCAGCGGCTC